ACTTTAAAATTAATCTGATGGTTAATATTAGCACCCCAAATTTATAGGAAAAATAAGTCCCTAAGGGTGTGTTTGAAGTGACTTTTTGAAAGTGTTTTAAAATTTTTAACTTCTCATAAGTACTTTAAAAAACAAAATAGGTTTGGAACTGCCCTACCACTACACCACCATCACCATTACCACCACCCCACCGTCATCACCACTACAACCACCCCACCCCACCTCCACCACCATCTCCACTACCACTATCACCACCACTGTCGCCACCCCACCACCACCGCCGCTGCCACAACAACTATCATTGTTGTCATCACCATCAATGTTGTCACCCCACCCACCGCCGCACCACCATCACCACGACCACCGTCCGCACCACCATCATCACAGTTGCTGCAACCATATCACCACCCCCTCCACTGCCACACCACTACCATCACCACCGCCGCCACCCCCACCATTACCTTTGCAACAACAACCACCACCACTGCCCCTTACCATCCCCATCACCACCATCCCACCACCACCCCCCTAATGCCCCAACACCACCATACCCACTACCTCTACCATCACCTTATCACCATTGCCACTATCCTACCATCAACCCTACCCCCACTACCCTTACCGCCACCCCTACCATCAGCACTACCTCCCATCATCACTACCATTGCTCACTCTCACTACAATCAGTGCTTAAATTCTTTTCTCTCTCATCTATATTTGTGGTTTGATTCTAGGTGTGAATACAAATATATTTACTCTTGACCATTTTTTTTTATTATTCTGTGTCTTCAGGCATATGCAATAATTAGTCTATATAATAAAGTACAATACAATTCAAATCTCAAAAGATAAACAAAATGACTTTTATTTTTCGCAGTTGAGATTTTTTTAAATTTTACTTTAAAGTTAATATGACGGCTAATATTAACACTCTAAATTTAATAGAAAAAACTAAACTTCTAAGGATATGTTTAGAGTGACTTTTTAAAATTGCTTCTAGAACTTATAACTTTTCATGAAAAAAAAAGTAGTAGTGTTTAGAACTGCCCCAGCACCATCACTACCACCAGCATGCCCACCGCACCATCACTACCACCACCGCTGCCACCCCACCACCACCATAATTACCCCTACCACCACCGCCACTGTCCTACTACCACCCCTACCACCACCATCCCTAACACACCACCACTACCAACGCCCCCCCACTACCCCCCCCCACAACCATCACCACCACTACCACCACCACCACCACCACCATTGCCACTCCACCACCCTACCACCACCACCATCGTCGTCGCCACCATCCTTACCATTGCCACCACTCCCACCACTACCACTAACACTGCCACTCACCCCCGATTGTTACAATCGTCGTCCACCGCCACACCCATCACAAATCGTCATCTCATTCTTACATTTATTACCACTACCACCATCATCCCATTTCCACCGTCACCTACTATCAGCACCCACCATGATCATTGTTGCCCACCATCATAAGTCATCCCCCATCATCATCGCCTGCCACTGTCACCCACACCCACCACATTTACCACAACCAACCACCACCATCCATCATCGCTTACCACTACCGCCACCCCCCACCCCCACTACACCTACCATCACCACCATCACTGCCATTCACTACCATCCATCACATTGTTGTCCAAAAACACTCGTCGTTGTCCATCATCACCTTTGTCATCGCCCACCACAGCCACCACCACTGTCGTTGCCCTACTACCACCACTGTCAACTACCATCACTGTCACCCACCACCATAACTACTATTATCCATAGCTGTCACTACCACTATCATCACCCAAAATTCACAACCACCATCATCACCCAAAATTCACAACCACCATCACTGTTGTGACCCACAACTACCACCACCGTCATAGTTGTTGTCACCCATCACAATCATCATCGTTTCTCACCACCACAACTATCACCGTTCACCACCACTACCACCGGTGCTTAAATTTCTTTCTTTCTCCTCTTTGTTTGTGATTTGATTTTGGGTGTGAATATAAATATGTTTATTATTGACTATTTTTTTATTACTCCGTGCCTTTAGGCATGAGAAATAACTATTAAATTTTATGTTTGATTCTTATATGAGATTAGTGTATAAATTATACACCATGTCATTATTGTATACGTGTCATGTGTTTTCACAAATACAAATCATGTAAAAATACATCTATTTTTTATTTAAGAAATAAAAAGTACAAACACACTAATATACAAACACACACAGAGTGTTAACACATAATATAATTCTACGATTGTTATATGAGTTTGGGTTTAGATGTGTAGGTGTTTAATGTAAATAAGTAATTAGTTAAATGTTAAAAAAATAAATAACATATTTTTACCCAATGTTAATATTATTTTCATTCATTTTTCACCTAATTTTGGAGAGATTGATTTTTATGAGTTGAAAGAAAAGTTAATCAATCCACTTTCCATCTTTCCTATTTTCCTTTATTATCAAACATGTGTTTTATATCCTCTAACTTTCCATCCTTCTATTTTTCCATCATACCAAACGAAAAATTGGGGACTTAATTCATGTAATCATTAAATGAAAAACGGACTACACTTAACATTTAACTCATAACTTATCTAATGACTCCATTGACTTAGATATCGTTATAGCATTGTTGTGACTACAGATATGGGCATGGTACATACTTCTTTGGATGCAAATCCAGAGCATATATATATATATAGCTTTCAATTTAAAAGTCCTCTCTCTCTCTCTCTCTGTGTGTGTGACGAAGAGGACGATGAATGTTGCTTGACAGAAAACATAAGATTCAGCTTCTCTCTTCCTTACAATCTGTACCTCATGAATTTGCTCCTTTTGCTCTCCTAAATTAAACACGCTCAGAATTTTGTTATCTCACGTTTCTTAGCTGCATCGTTGTAAGCTGTTGATCTCAAGCGTTACCTTAGTGGTATTTCAATCACGTGATAAACTACCTTTTATGAGGGGTAAATTAAGAGTTCGAATATCCTATGAAACGTAGTCTCTTAGGATTACTATCTATAGATTTACCTCTTTGTGTGAAGATACAATTTTACATAAGGTCCAACATTAATTTGGTACATGAGTGAAAAAGTATTACGGTAATCTAATGTGACAAATGAGATAAAAAAAAAAAAAAAAAACGATGTAAGTTGTGATTTATTGGAAATGGGTGCATGAACTCATTTTTGTTAAAGGGGGTTTGTTTGTGAGTGATTGGTGTGGGTCAAATTATGTAAGGTATGGAGTTTAAATTACTAATAATTGAAAGAAAGAATAAAATTGAAGCAAGGGTTGGCAACAAGGTCCTTGTCAAACTGAGGCACTGCCTACTCTATATTATATGTTATACAAAGAGCAGCAAATCAGCCGGATTAGTTTTCCAATTGGCGGGTGCTTGTAGTCCGTAGCCTAAATCTTTTTGGTAGTTGTTATCACGCAGAAAGAAACGTTTTTGCTCATGCTTGCATCACCATACTTTTTTTGTAATAATAAAAAAAAAAAAGATAAGATCCTACTAAGAAGTTTAATAATTATAATTATAATTATCACTACACCATATATACGATCTCAAGAGTTTAGATTAGATTCTAATAATTTCATTAATTACTCCTCCAATCCTTATCCCACAAAAACCCAAAACTCGTGAATGATAATCTGAGTACCCATAAGTCCAAAACCTGAGAATCTGAAAGTAAAATCATCAATCATCAGGATATAAAGGAGGGAGGCACCTGAAGCTTAACTGCAATTGAGTTACCCAAAATGCTAGAGTACGTGGGAACCAAATATTTTGGGATCGAATGATACTCCCCACGTCACCTTTGTGCACCATCACTCTTAAATTATTTGATGTGGCACAATTATATTTATTAAATATTTAATAAATTATGTGAAACTTATTAATTTAAAGATATATTAAAACGGTGCGTTACATTGTTATTTTGGATCCTTTTACTTTCTTGGTTGTCAAGGTGCCATTATGGACTATTAAATTTTGGTCCCTAATTATTATTTTCTTACAAGGAGATCCACGTGTGCATAAAAAAACACACTGCAATGCATGCCCCCACGTATGTAGCCCAAGGAGACCAGATCTGCAGCTCTGTGAAAAAAAAAATTAGGGATAATTGTACTATTAAAAAAAAATTGTAATGGTATCAATTATTATTATTTTTAACTAATTAAGTTAATTTATGAATAATCATGAAATATAAAATATTGTGATGGATCATAAATTACTTAAATGAGTTTTAATTTTTCATTGAAGAGTTGTAAGTTCTCTTTAATTAAATTATAACTTAATCTTTAAAAAATTTAATTTTCATGATCAAATTATGATATTTGGGGATCAATCATATTTTTTATAATTATAATTTACACTTTAAAAAAATTATAAATTTTGATAAAAAAATTACAACTTCTCTTTTTTTTTTTTTTTTTTTCCCTAAAGGTAAAATTGTTTTACTACGTTCTGTTACTAGCAAAAATAAATTTATTATTTACAAAAGTATACTTACATTTAACTCTTTTTAAACCTCAACAATAGGAAACACGTACACTAAGCAAGCTCTTCAATAAGTAGTAAATGGAAGGAGCAAAAACGAAAAATTGAATTCTTTTCAATTACGTTCATGCATCAAAGAAGAAGAATGGCGGATCATTTCCTCGGCTTCACGTGGGGTGGGTGAGATGGTGGGACTGGGAAGGAAATATTGTAGAGAGAGAGAGAGGGGGGATGGGAGAGAGAGAGAGATTATAGCGGCCTTGACTCATCACACTGTCAATGACTTGAAATTGAGTGCAAGGATAAACACTAAATATGAAGTAGATATAAATCCAACAAAATTTTCTTCATGGAATAGATCCAATTATACTAGAATAGCTATTTATGTAACTCGTAATCACAATTCAAATAGTATTAAACTTGTCGAAAAAAGGGTACTAAAATTGAGTGAAATTATACTGTTTCAGTAGCAGCACCACCGCCACTAGCCTCACCGCCGCCACCACTACTACGTCCACCACCAACATTCTCTGCCACAGTAGTGGCCGTGGGCGTTGGCCTTTTTCGCTTCTTTTTCTCATAAGGTATCCCTCTGGCCTTGGCCTGACTTTCTTTCACCTCCCTCAAATATATCCTCACCGCTTTGGCACCAAAGGGGTTCGCTTCTGGCCTCCCACCGTTCTCCTCGTAGGCGGCTCTGAGCCGTCCGATGAGCGCGTCAAGGCTGCCCCAAGCTTGTTTCAGAGGGCAAGCACATGGTGCCGGAGGGTTAGGGTGGCCGAAGTAGGGACAACCAGTCACGTGCACCTTCGTCTTCCCGAACTGGTCAAGGTACTTCAAGAACTCGATCACGTGAGCTCCGCTGCACCGTGCTAGTGTCAACGGTGGCTTGTGGTTCCTCAAGTACTGCAAGAAAGTGTTCCAGTCTCGACGCTTCTGCGACTCGTACCGACTCGGTGGTGGTGCTGATGCTGATCCACTACCCTCTGCGGTGGCTCCTCCTCCTCCACTACCACCACCAATAGCAGTTGTCGATGATGGACCCTCTCCTCCATTCGGGTCCGGTGCTCCGGCTCCTGATGCTGAATCCATTTGCCTATCTTTCCTCTACACAATGGTGGTCGCCAATAGTTTTCACTTTTCTTGAGCAACTGGGTGATCACTTCAGAACAATAATTCTACAATTATGGTTCTATTGTCCCTTTTGTGACTAGTCTGTGAAGATGGAACTCTTGACGGGTGAGGCAAGAGTTCTCTGTTACTTTCGATTATTGGGTCTCCAAATCTAGTGTTTCTTTTTTTTTCTTTAGGGAGAGGTAGAGAGATTTCGGGGAAGAAATGAGGAGAGAGAGAGAAAGGTTGAGCGGATGTGATGGGACGTCCGAATGAATTGTACCTGGTTGAACCGAAGAAGTGAGACTGTTCTCTTTTAGAGAGAGAGAGAGAGAGAGAGAGAGAGAGAGAGAGAGAGAGGGGTAGAGAAAGACTGTTACTTGGTGAAGACGGAGAATCCTGTAGAGAGAGAATTCAAGTATTCACGCTGTGGCCCCTCCGACATGACATGTTTACTATTCAACCCCGGCGGCCCCTCCACTTCCCGCTTCCTGTTATGCATACATCTTTTTTGCATACAAACACCACGCGCTTTAAATCGATGACTGACCAGCAAACTCTCCGGCCTCCAAACCCAAACGCTTAACCATTTAATTATACTAAATAGTATTACCTCTTTTTTCGAAAAGGGTCCATTTCTCTTGGTCTACCTCGACCTTAATATCTCCGATAAAAAAATTCCCACAATTGATAAAGATATTTAATTTATAAAAAAATTGCTCTAATACCGCTAATTTTAATCTTGTAGCATAAATCTTATAACTACGTACAATGTCCTTCCCCAATCAATGTGGGGTGTGACAAAATGATTCAAAGAGAATAGTTATTCATATATTATAAACACTATACTATAAAGTCTAATCAACAAAGCAAAAGAAAAAAAAATTATATTTGAGATGAAATCTAATTCTGGAAAAAAAAATTGTCGGGCAATAGAAGGGGAGATAGTTTATCATCAGAAAAGTAATTCAGTAATGTAGACCAGTTATTCAACTAAGTGTGGAACCAGTTATTCAACTAAGTGTGGAACGGGGAGGGGGTGTATAATTGAAAAAGAATAAAGAACGCAAGCGTATCAGAAGGGTGCATCGTGAATGGCACGTTTGGGTTTATTGATTATGTTTGTGGATTCTATTAGTAATGAGTGGTGGGTTTCATTAAGGTCAAATTTTCTCTAAACTCTATTGAAATGACCAATGTTACAAAACGGGAGAATAACTACTTGTCTATTAATATAATATCCCACGAAATGTGTACAAGCTTTAATATTTACTTTACTTTTAAAATGAAAAGAACAAAAAAGAAATTATAAAGCATAGGGAATCAAACCACCCTCAATTTGATTTGCAATTATCAATCTCAACTTCAAAATATGAAGGCAAGAATAAGGATTTGGTAACTAAGTAAATATTGGGTGTAATGGTGACACTACATCATCAACATCATATGATGTCACTAATCAATTAAAATAACAAATAGAATTGATAAATATCACTATTCCAACATAACAGTTATTAGATAAATTGGATACTAATTGTCATTAAAACAGCAGAGCCCATAAAGTCTATTTGCAATTCTATCACTGATTGGTGAAATCACGTGACATTAATAACGTGGTGTTACTGTTATACTCAATATTTTTTCCCACTGACCTACGACACTTTCTTGTCTCAATTAGTTGAATTTTTTTATCCACAACCAAATTAACTAAGTTGGTAATTTGTTTTCAAAAAAATTAGTTAGAGAGAGTGAGAGAAAGGTGAGAGATATTTTTGTCCAAACTTAGATGAGATTTGAATTCATAATATTTTTTTTTCTTACAATGTCATATTAGCACTTAACGAACTATATTTTGAAGAAAACCAAGAGCATAGATCCAAGAAGCACAAGCACCACAGAGCTTGGAGCGGAAGGATTAAACTAAGAGTAGAAAATGCATAAGTAGGTTGGTGATTGCTTACTCAGCATTACTGTTCAATTATCAAACTTAATTCACTACTCATTGTATTAACAATATGCAATTGGAAATAAAAGACCTCCATTTCATATGTCCATACTGGCTACGAATGCTATTACCATAACTTTCTACTAGCGGCTCCACCCATGCATGCACAAGATTTATAACCCTCTCTCTTTTTTTTTTTTTTTTTGCTTTTAATTTTGTATCCTCATCCTTCTTCTTTCTCACTATTATCACCTGAAAAGTTAAATTAAGAACTTTTGGATTCCACGGGTAGTAGAATTGGTAGTAACTGATTCTTGGTGAAGGATACATGTAGAGTATAAGGGACACGGGATAAAATATGACGAGAAAGAATAATTAATTTTAAACATCATAATTTCAAATATTAAGAAATTAGAACAGTTGGAGAGAATAATTTAATGGGATTTTATGATGCTGGCCATATAGTCTTATTAGTGGATATCCCTAACATTAATTTCTTGGCACCCCTTTGATGTCATGCCAAACTTTGTTAGTGTTAGGTATGGGTGAAACCTGTATGAGCTTAATAGCCTGTATTAAGTTGCTCTGACTCTATGACACTTAACACATGTAATTTTTTTTTCTCTCTTTGTTTTTTTTTGGGTAAGATGCTTGAAATTATTTTTTCTTAATAATGTCGTAAAAAGCATGTTACATCATTGTATGCAAAGAAATAAAGGCTGAAATTTTAATTTTTTATCAAACTACAACCACTTACACTAATAGTGTGAAGGTCATAGTAGACTTATAAACACGCACACACCCTCTAAGATTATTCGATGTGGGATAGTCTCAATTCCTATCCTTCCAAACACTATGGCCCAAAGACAGTTGTCTCAAAGAAGACCTTAAATTTTAATTTGAGTTGAGAACCTTAAAAGACTTTTCGTATCATCAGGATTAGAGTTTGGATTCAACCTCTTCCACTCTTGTCTCTCACCGTGTGCAATAATGAAGTGTGAGCTAAATTGAATACAATAATCTTTACATATCTACTTTCGAAAAACATATATATATATATAGCGATTATAATATAGGGGAGATGGTGGTTTCATCGTACGACCTATGCAATCTCTTTGCATATTTTAATGATTTTAAATTTATCTCTTTGGATATTTTAATGATATTAAATTTAAAGTAAATCGCATCCAATGCCTCCCCCTTCCGCAATTCATTCTAAAGCTCATGTGTCAACTTCACAATTCCACAAATTTTTTACATTATTTTAATGAAAATTAATATATATAGTTTATATATGATGTCTCACCACAAATGAGTCCTCATAATCATTCATCTCCTCATAATCAAAGGTCGCTTAGAAAATGAGCCCCAACCTAGAGTATATCCTAAGGCATAGAAATCATTTATAATTAGTATTTTATTGATGCACTAGTTTAATTAAAATAAATATACCTTTAAGTTCTGATGAGATTCTGGTCCATTTGATAATAATAACACGACTAACTATTAGAAGGTGATACATATAATAGGATTCTTCACACAAATTTATATTTCTAATTTTTCAAATATCCCTGACAAGAGCATTACCTATTGATCACATGGTTTAGGAAATGCATTTGGATAAAATTAAGCACTTCTTAGGAAAATTTGAACCTGTTCGGATGAGAAAAAAAAAAGTTGTTTTTAAAATTTGTGCTATTTGCTAAAACTTTAGCATCAGTCTCGCAGTACCATTGGAAGAGTGGATAATCCATTGATGCTGGAGCTACTTCTAATTTTTTTGTACTTTAATTGCAATGTCTTTATCTTTCATGACAAAAAAAAACACAAATGTTCATCTCTTTAGTATAGATATTTAAACTTCGTATGAAAACAGATATGGGAACCACCCCTAGAATAATGTGGATGACGATAATGAAATAACAATGCATATATAATATCTATTTTCGGTACTGGATTGCGACTGCTAAGGGATCAAGACATTACCATATTTTTTGGACTCTCTCACTTGGTGCTTTAGCCAATAACAAAATTTATAATTTTTTTAATTATAAAATTAATTGGCGGGACTTTAGGTGGCTCTACAGCCCCCGGGTTGACAAGTGGAATAATGAAGCCGTTGGGATATCCAGAGGGTGCCGAAGAGGTAAGTCGAGATATGGTGACACGGAGCAACCAAGTACGATAGCTGACATCGTATTTAATACAATGTGACCCCTTATTTATGGCGGAATGAGTGATAGTGACAAGGCAACTAAATGCGCGTCTGCTAGCACCTGCCCTCTGGGAGTCTAAGTCTACTGTCATGATGGCTAAGCATTAATGGCTGATGCGTCGAGACGATGCAATCGGTTCTCCCGAGGAACTGTTCCCCCCGAATATTCAATGCTCAGTTGATGTCAGATGTCGATCTGGAAGATTTGGGTACTTGGGGAGTGGCATAAATGCTCGGCATTTGACCAAGCATTTACCCCATTTTTCTAGCATTCAATAGGAGGAGACGTTGGTAGAAAACACTCATTACACGAGGAATGGTGTGTCAAAGGTAAGATGTCCAGATGGGATTGGAGATCTTTGACAATCATTGTTAATTCAGGTATAAATACTCCTTAGAAAAATAGACAAAGGTACGCAAACTTGAATCAGAAAAATAGTCCATTGAGCAAAACCTTTCAACCTCTTATTGACTTAAGCTTCAGAGGGGATTAGTCGGGCACTCGCCTGGCCCCATTTTTTCTGACCCTGTTGTTTCAGGTTCGCCAACTTGGAGATCGCTGTCTCATATTATTGCAAGAATTATCCCGTACAATTTGGCCCCGTCTATGGGAACGAAGGCATTTTTTTCGGTAGTGATCGTCTAATGGTGAACACTCAATTTCAGGGTGAAGGAGCAGGTATACGGGCCAGGAACACAGAGCCCGTCCGACTTCCAATGGTTCTGGAGCTGGGTTCATTGGGCCAATCAGATGGGGTGGGGCATTCTTCGTAAAGAACGCTCCCTATGGATCAGGGCCTTGGGGAGCGTGACCTCATGGCCCATGACATCATTGAGATAGTGGAAAAACGGATGGACAAACGCATTAAGCAACTTGAAAGGGAAAACGCCAAAATCCAACAACGCCTTGACGATTTTGAGCAGTCAGCGAGCGCAGGTGAGCATAGTCGCGGGTTCGGGGACCAGGTGCTTAGCCAGAACCTATCCAGACCCCCTGACATTGGCCCTCCAGGAAAGATTGGATTGGGCACTCGCCCGAGGGACGTAACTGCCAAAGAGGGTTCTCAGCTTCCAAGGGAAAGTCAGAATCGGGCCAGAAGG